ACGCACTATATCATTTGTTAACCTAATGGAATTGCACTATTCTCGAACAAAAATTTCAGACAATGTAAGCTAAAAATTATTTAATATATTTTATTGTTTAAATTATAGAATATAATATTTAACCTATATTTCTTGTAAGTTTAAAAATTATATGAAACCAGGGAAATATAGAATATATGGGATAACTCAAAATACAGAAACAGGTCAATACATGCTTGTATTTGATTTTTACAATGATAAAAGAGATTCCATCAACGGAATATGTGAGCATTGTAAACAGCCCAACACTAACCTAGCATGGTGTCAATTGTGCGATCCATGGAAAGCAACTCAAGAATTGACAAGTGGAAATAAAGATATTGATAATGCCATTAAGGAATTTCAAATGCAGGCTATAGAGTATGAGAAAGTGATTGAATGGATTCCATACGAAAGACTAATTAATATACAAAAAGTTAAAGAATTTGATGATGAAAGACCTGATTTAAAAATTAAAGAACCTGTTCAAGAAATAAAAGGTTCAGATTTAGTATTTTTAGCGACCTTGAGAAATGGCATACGAACGATTAAAGGTGGTCCTAACAATTATACCCAGTCACGTACTATATCATACGTTGACCTCATGAACTTGCGTTATTCTCAAGAAAAGACTTTAGATCTTATAGAAAATGTAAGTTAAAATAATTATTTGCATTTAACTAATTTATTGCTTAAATCATCGGATGCAACATAATCAGTTAATATATATTTTTTATAAGCTTAAACATTATATACAAGTAGGGAAATATAGAATTTATGGAATAACACAAAATACAGAAACTGGTCAATACATGCTTGTGCTTGATTTTTATAGCGATAAAAGAAAGTCCATCAATGGAATTTGTGAATATTGTAAACGACATAATACTGACCCAGTTTGGTGTCAGACGTGTGATCCGTGGAAATCAACTCAAGGATGGACAAGTGGTGATAAAAACATTGATGATTGCATTAAGAGATTTCAATTTAAAGCTACGGCATATGATAATGTAATTGAATGGATTCAGTTTGACAAACTAACAAATACAAATATGATTGGCAAAGGAGGGTTTGGTGAAGTTTATTTATCAACTTGGTTAGATGGTAAACGAATAATCGAAGGTGATAATAATGTGGGTTTTATACCACTTCGTAATAAATCCTGTGATGTCGCTCTTAAAACATTGCCTGGTTCTCAAACGAGCACCAATTTCTTAAATGAGGTAGGTTAAAATACTTTTATCGAAATTTTACTGATATAACTATATAAAACCTTATTCTTACATTTTCTCAAGTTTAAAAGTCACATGCAATGTAGATTAGAGGGTAGCGCACTTGAAGTATACGGATTGACTCGGGATACAGAAGGTCGATATATGATGGTATATCAATATGCTAATAGAGGAAATCTTCATGATTTTCTAACGAAACACTTTAGAAAACTTAAATGGAAAAATAAATTAAAGCAACTTGTAGCTATATCTTATGATTTATTTCGAATTCACAAAGCAGGACTTATTCATAATGACTTTCACAGTGGTAATATTTTACTAAACCAAACGATCGATGGAGATATAGTCTCATATATTTCAGATTTAGGATTGTCTAGAAAACAAGATGAGCATGATTCAAGAAGAAATGTTTATGGGGTCATGCCTTATGTAGCCCCAGAAGTTTTACAAGGACACAAGTTTACGTCAGTTGCCGATATTTATAGCTTCGGAGTAATCATGTCAGAGATGTCAATTGGACAAAGACCTTTTGCTCATTATGAAGTTAATATTGGTCTTGCAATAAAAATTTGTAAAGGATTGCGGCCAGAATTTGCTCATGGAACACCAAATTTTTATATTGAATTTGCTAAACGATGCATGGATTCTGATCCAGAAAAACGGCCTACTGCGTATGATATTTATTTGAAACTTAAAGAATGGTATGATAGCATGGAAAATTCAGATGATGCAAATGAAATTAAAAAACTATTTTTAGATGCAGACAAAATATCAAAGGAATTATCAATTATATCACCAAAATATACGTATATTAGCAGACTTATCAACACACAAAGAATATCAGATGCAATTAAAGGTATTTATTTTATAAAATTACACTATATCAGTATATTACCTTTTGATTGAAGTTAATTATGCTATATTAGCGGCCTTGCCAAGTCAACCTATTTCTTCTGTTGAAGTTCCTGTTGGTAAGTATCATTAAATTACTACACCTATAATTAAAATGTTATTACTCACTTTGTATTGGCATTTAGATTAATTGCTTTAAGGGAATAAAATTTATTTTGTTAACGTGTAATTTTGAATTTCATATAAGTTCAACATCTAAATGCTATTATTATATAATTAAAATTGTATGCACTTATTTTAAAACTTTTTTTTTATAATAAATTTTTAGCAAATATATATTTAAATTTCTTCATTTTGTTTTATGACAATAAAATATTAGATTATATAAAGAATTAAAAAATATCTTACTTATAAAAGGCAAAAATACTATTCCTAATGGATCGGCAATACCGATCTTGATGGAGTTAAAAAAATTATTTGAGTACTGTTCCTGATAGGGTTCTAAAAACGAACCCTAATCCCAACTTTTTTTCATTATATAGTATAGTATTTTGGAGGCCCTTTTTAGAACCCTATCAGGAACGGTATGTAAATCGACTTTTTTCCCACCCTATCAGGAACGGTATTTTTGCTTATAAAAGTGGTATTAAAAAAATTTAAAAAGTTTAAGGCAGTGTTCCAAATCGGGCAAAATTTTCAAATTGATTAGTTAGTCTGATAAATTTGATTACCCCACCAAATTTTACCGTGTGTCCTTTACCATATGTGCCATACATTGTAATAAATTCACCATATGTGATCATGTAGTGTAAATACTTTTTATCGTACGGGTCTTATGTAACAACCCGTGCTCATTTGTTATGGTTATTCGCACGGGTCTATATGTAAATCACATGATTTTCATATAGACTTGTGCAAATAGCTTTTTTTTTAAAAACATGCTTTTAAATTGTCATACATTGAGAAATAAAGATAATTGGAAAGTTTTTTTTTTTAATTATTGAAATTTACTAATTTCTGCTCTATTACAGGGGATAAAAAAATATTTATTTTGAATTGTCAAATTTAAGATTTAATATAATTGTTAAGGGCTTGTCAGTAGCTAAAATTTGCAATATAATGTTTTGCACAGTAGTATTAAGAACTTGTTGTGATTGTTGATTCAGAGAAACATGCTGTTGGGTAGAAGTTTGTTGTTCAATTGGCTGGTGTTGAGGCTTCAATGGTACAATTGAATTAGGTTGTTGGTGCTAAAGCTTTGATGGTGAATTGAATTTGGTAACTTGAATAGTAGTTTAAAAGGTATATAGACAGATGATTTGTGTCTTGAAACTTTTGATAATTTGGACTTTTTTTGAGGTTCATTATATTCTTTTAAATTTGTGTTAGTAATTATTGTTATAAAAAAAATACCAATTTTTTTATTTTTTACCTCACATTTATTCAAATTTCTGAATTAATTTTATTCAATTTTTTTTCAATATTATGTTTCTTCCTATATCAATCTACATGCCGAAGCCACTTTTCTGTATTTTTATCAGTATTGGTGACTCAGGACAGGCTTGTGAAATATTGAACTACTTTTTTAATTGGTGCTCATTTTTTTTATTTGAATAAAAATGAAAGTTATAAATAAAGCAATAAAAAAGTATGTGTAAGAGAAGAAAATGTGTATTAGGAAAAGTGTACGAAAAGAATGTGATTAAAAGTGTATGTATAAGAGAAAAAACATGAGAATGTAAAAAAAAAATTGCAATTAAAAATGTAAAACTTACAATTTATATTTAATTGTTAAATAGTGATTATAAAAGTAATCAATAGTTTAATCAATATTAATAAAAGTATTCAATAAAAAAAAAGTAGTAAATTATTAATCACACAGGTTGTTATGTCAGACCCGTATAATAATATAATTATTGCATAGATATGTAGTGAATAATCTATTTGCATATGGGTTCATATTTGAATCCTGTAGCCAAAGGCTACAGAATTTAAATATGAGCATATATGTAAATAGGTTATTCACTACATACCCATACAATAACTATAATTTACACTATATAATTGTATTATGGCTATTTATATTAATTTGTATTATCTCTGTATAGAGGATTGTCAAAACAATTTTCTTGCAATATCTAAAAAAGGGTTTATATATTGCATACCATCTGACCAGATTGTTAAAAATCTATTACCACGAGATGCTATAAACGCATATTGTAAAAGTTAACTATAACCGAATAAAAGGAGCCGGCCAAGAGGCCACCTTAACACCAAAAAAAAAAAAAAAAAAATCTATTACCGATCTATTGAATATTAACTAATTTATTAAAACCTATTTGATTATATCTTCATATTTTGTAGCTTTAAGTTGAAATTCATCAATGTAATCAACAATGCCCTTATTTTCACATATCTATTTTTGTTTTATTTTTGTAGATCACATGTTTAACACCAAGCTAGTGATGTGTTATATTGATTGTAATTTGTATATTTTTCATGAGATTTAGATCTGTAGGAAACAAGTTTATCAAATATTAATATAAACTCATTGGCTATAATGTTTAGGATTGGTCTATATACATTATAACTATTTAAGTATATAATCTATAAACTTATACAGTATAACAAATATATTTAAAATAAAAAGTATATTGTACAATAATAATAATTTAAATATTTTATCTTACTTTTTTTAACATATTTGATAAATCTGATGATCTAGTTAATATTTTAATTTCTATTTTACATGATATGTGACAGCATATTCATGTCTATATATCGTATTTCATCTAACTAGGTTGCTAAAAATCTGTCATCAATCATTTGAATATTAACTAATCTATTAAAAGGATTCTATTTTAATTTATCTTCATATTTTGTAACTTTAAGTTGAAGTTTTTAATATATCATCAATATCCTTATTTCCACTTGTCTATCCTTGTGTTATTTTTTGTAGGCCATATGTTTGACACCAAGCTGAAAGATGTGTTATATCAATACACTTCACACAATTTCTATTATTTTTATATCTTTTAGAACCAAATTCATTAAATCAAAGCCTCTAGCTGTCCCACAAAATTTTTTCCACCCTCTATAATTTTGACCAATCGAATTTTAAGATCAGGTATAACAAAAATTAAAATTGACAACTTTTTTACAAAAAAACAGAAATAGCTCTAATTTTTATTAGAAAACTATCTACTGTGGTCTAATTAAAAATGTTCTTCATAAAATTTTACTAATAGCTATCATATTTTCTAACTATAACCCTAACTTTAATATGGTTTTCTTAGATTTAATTTTATTCACAACTTTTTACTTAGAAAACAAAAATTTGTTTTGACCAACATGTTATACTTGATCTTAAATTTTGCATATAGACGAATTTTGAAAATTCAAATATATCACCTGAATTTGAATATAATATTCATGATATAATAAAATAAACTAACTAATAAAATTATATAATCAAAGTCACAAGGATCTATATGACCAATTAGATTAATTAAAAAATTTAATTCACAAATAATATTTTTATGTTTACAAGATGACACATTACTACTATATACTTTGA